ATCTCTTATGAAAATCGGAAGGAAAAATTGAAAACAATTAATATTTCCACCAACAAACAACATTGGTAAAGAAGTGAGAGTGTTGCATGTATGTTGGCTAAAATTGTCCTTACCTTTGACCTGCTGCACAGATGTAAGTTTACGTTCCACAGGTCGTCAAAAGGATGAGGCGTAACAGGCTCAAACTCCGTGGTATACTGCCGCATCGCGTTGGGACTCGTGAAGCAGCATTTGCACATGCACGAGTGGTAGCGCAACCTACCCTCGTCTAGGTACGGGTGAGCCAGTGCGTCTACTACACTGATCCTCTTGTCCTACAACATTCACGACAAATGACTGAGTCAGACTGAGACTTAAGCACAACATTGGTGAATAAGTGTAGTCTGAGAAAGGACCCACATTTCCACTATTTTTGTAGATGTAAAATATCGGATTACTGGAAATGTCATCAATAAAAACCCTTTAAATTGCACTAAACAAGTGTTTTATCGGTGCCAAACAATTTTTATAATAGGGATGTGTTGATTCTTAACACCACCGATACTTGGAAATTGGTATCAGTATAGAGAATTCATTGTCAAAAGTCGGAAATTGGTATCAGTATAGAGAATTCATTGTCAAAAGTTGATTCTGATAACAATACCCTACACGTCTACAAAGATCACGCGATTACGCATAACGACGTTGACGTTTCCAAGACTGTGGGTGTCGAAGATGATCTCTACATGGCCGTGGGAGATGATGATAATGACTACAGGGCCGAAAAATGTAATGAATTCGTGTTCCATTTCAGCGGGGGTATTCAGGATTTTGACCTGATCAAGGGAAATGGTCAGGATTTAACCACGACTGCAGGACGATACCATGACTACAAGGCCGCAAACACGAAATTAATGTCTATGAGGTTGAAAAATGATAATTAATTCGCAGCAATCGCGGAAGACAATGATGATGTCACACGACAGGTATGATCAGAATTTTGTCTGAATTATTTACCATGTCAGGACAGCCGCAAAAGATTATTAAAATTTTGCCACGATCGTGGGAGACAGTGATGAAAAAGGACAATGAATTTGCCGTGATCGCGATTATTATGTTTCTGTTACCGCGAAGATCCTAAATACAGTCACACAAGACACTGAGAATTAAACTGTGACACAATAACGTTTCTTAACTTGAATCACCCACCACATCAATCAAAAGACGCCCGGGGATCACTAGAGTGCCGGAGTATATTGGGTTTGTCTTCTGTATAGGGAATAAGCTATAGCTACTATAGGTCTCATGGTGATACCTAAACCCAGGACTATATTATAAAGTACACACAATAGGGGGTTTTTTTTTTTTTAATAAGGACCAAATTTGTCCTTTGGCGGCCAACTTTTTTGAACCAATATAGCTCTGTATTTTGCGTGTACGAAGCAAAGAGGCAGCTTGGGCAGCATTGGTTAACAGATTGGCAAAAGTGTTGAAAATGCCTGCCTTTTGTTATTTGTAATAGTCATACTACAGATGATATGAATGTTTATTTATTATCAGCTGACTGTTTTGTTAGTCCAATTTTGTTCTATCTCTTGTAAATATTGATCAGAAATACAGTCACTTTTTATATCGTTGAGTTCGTTTTTAATCCTAGTTATAGATTCCAGGGGTTAGAGCAAGCCGGGTTCAAATCCCGCCAAATCACCAATGGATTTTATCTAAGTAATAATGCCGTAACCCTTAGGTCTAGCCTGAGATAATGTGAAAAACAGTTACAGGCTTGTGCCTAGCGTCCTAGGACATAAAAATCCTAGTTATAACATAGATTTTTTTCCCCAAACACCTCTACTTGGGAGAATAATTCAAGACAGAGGCTGAGGCTTGACTCTCTGTTTCAACATACGAGATCTAGCACTTTCACACGCATGTCTTATAAACTTACCGGGTCAAAGACAAGCATGTGACAAAGGAAATGCACAGCCTCATGAGTGGCCTGGGAGGAGAGAGTGTACAGAGCTGACAGCGACTGAGGCTTGACTCTCTGCCTCAACATATGAGATCTGGCACCTTCACACACATGTCTTATAAACTTACCGGGTCAAAGACAAGCATCTGACAAAGGAGATGCACAGCCTCATGAGTGGCCTGGGAGGAGAGAGTGTACAGAGCTGACAGTGACTGAGGCTTGACTCTCTGTCTCAACATATGAGATCTGGCACCTTCACACGCATGTCTTATAAACTTACCGGGGCAAAGACAAGCATCTGACAAAGGAGATGCACAGCCTCGTGAGTGGCCTGGGAGGAGAGAGTGTACAGAGCTGACAGTGACTGAGGCTTGACTCTCTGCCTCAACATATGAGATATGGCACCTTCACACACATGTCTTATAAACTTACCGGGTCAAAGACAAGCATCTGACAAAGGAGATGCACAGCCTCATGAGTGGCCTGGGAGGAGAGAGTGTACAGAGCTGACAGTGACTGAGGCTTGACTCTCTGTCTCAACATATGAGATCTGGCACCTTCACACGCATGTCTTATAAACTTACCGGGTCAAAGACAAGCATCTGACAAAGGAGATGCACAGCCTCATGAGTGGCCTGGGAGGAGAGAGTGTACAGAGCTGACAGTGACTGAGGCTTGACTCTCTGCCTCAACATATGAGATCTGGCACCTTCACACACATGTCTTATAAACTTACCGGGTCAAAGACAAGCATCTGACAAAGGAGATGCACAGCCTCATGAGTGGCCTGGGAGGAGAGAGTGTACAGAGCTGACAGCGACTGAGGCTTGACTCTCTGCCTCAACATATGAGATCTGGCACCTTCACACACATGTCTTATAAACTTACCGGGTCAAAGACAAGCATCTGACAAAGGAGATGCACAGCCTCATGAGTGGCCTGGGAGGAGAGAGTGTACAGAGCTGACAGTGACTGGGGCTTGACTCTCTGCCTCAACATATGAGATCTGGCACCTTCACACACATGTCTTATAAACTTACCGGGTCAAAGACAAGCATCTGACAAAGGAGATGCACAGCCTCATGAGTGGCCTGGGAGGAGAGAGTGTACAGAGCTGACAGTGACTGAGGCTTGACTCTCTGTCTCAACATATGAGATCTGGCACCTTCACACGCATGTCTTATAAACTTACCGGGTCAAAGACAAGCATCTGACAAAGGAGATGCACAGCCTCATGAGTGGCCTGGGAGGAGAGAGTGTACAGAGCTGACAGTGACTGAGGCTTGACTCTCTGCCTCAACATATGAGATCTGGCACCTTCACACACATGTCTTATAAACTTACCGGGTCAAAGACAAACATCTGACAAAGGGGATGCACAGCCTCATGAGTGGCCTGGGAGGAGAGAGTGTACAGAGCTGACAGTGACTGAGGCTTGAATCTCTGCCTCAACATATGGGATCTGGCACCTTCACACACATGTCTTATAAACTTACCGGGTCAAAGACAAGCATCTGACAAAGGAGATGCACAGCCTCATGAGTGGCCTGGGAGGAGAGAGTGTACAGAGCTGACAGCGACTGAGGCTTGACTCTCTGTCTCAACATATGAGATATGGCACCTTCACACACATGTCTTATAAACTTACCGGGTCAAAGACAAGCATCTGACAAAGGAGATGCACAGCCTCATGAGTGGCCTGGGAGGAGAGAGTGTACAGAGCTGACAGCGACTGAGGCTTGACTCTCTGCCTCAACATATGAGATCTGGCACCTTCACACACATGTCTTATAAACTTACCGGGTCAAAGACAAGCATCTGACAAAGGAGATGCACAGCCTCATGAGTGGCCTGGGAGGAGAGAGTGTACAGAGCTGACAGTGACTGGGGCTTGACTCTCTGCCTCAACATATGAGATCTGGCACCTTCACACACATGTCTTATAAACTTACCGGGTCAAAGACAAGCATCTGACAAAGGAGATGCACAGCCTCATGAGTGGCCTGGGAGGAGAGAGTTTACAGAGCTGACAGTGACTGAGGCTTGACTCTCTGTCTCAACATATGAGATCTGGCACCTTCACACGCATGTCTTATAAACTTACCGGGTCAAAGACAAGCATCTGACAAAGGAGATGCACAGCCTCATGAGTGGCCTGGGAGGAGAGAGTGTACAGAGCTGACAGTGACTGAGGCTTGACTCTCTGCCTCAACATATGAGATCTGGCACCTTCACACACATGTCTTATAAACTTACCGGGTCAAAGACAAACATCTGACAAAGGGGATGCACAGCCTCATGAGTGGCCTGGGAGGAGAGAGTGTACAGAGCTGACAGTGACTGAGGCTTGAATCTCTGCCTCAACATATGGGATCTGGCACCTTCACACACATGTCTTATAAACTTACCGGGTCAAAGACAAGCATCTGACAAAGGAGATGCACAGCCTCATGAGTGGCCTGGGAGGAGAGAGTGTACAGAGCTGACAGCGACTGAGGCTTGACTCTCTGTCTCAACATATGAGATATGGCACCTTCACACACATGTCTTATAAACTTACCGGGTCAAAGACAAGCATCTGACAAAGGAGATGCACAGCCTCATGAGTGGCCTGGGAGGAGAGAGTGTACAGAGCTGACAGCGACTGAGGCTTGACTCTCTGTCTCAACATATGAGATATGGCACCTTCACACACATGTCTTATAAACTTACCGGGTCAAAGACAAGCATCTGACAAAGGAGATGCACAGCCTCATGAGTGGCCTGGGAGGAGAGAGTGTACAGAGCTGACAGTGACTGAGGCTTGACTCTCTGTCTCAACATATGAGATATGGCACCTTCACACACATGTCTTATAAACTTACCGGGTCAAAGACAAGCATCTGACAAAGGAGATGCACAGCCTCATGAGTGGCCTGGGAGGAGAGAGTGTACAGAGCTGACAGTGACTGAGGCTTGACTCTCTGCCTCAACATATGAGATCTGGCACCTTCACACACATGTCTTATAAACTTACCGGGTCAAAGACAAACATCTGACAAAGGGGATGCACAGCCTCATGAGTGGCCTGGGAGGAGAGAGTGTACAGAGCTGACAGTGACTGAGGCTTGACTCTCTGCCTCAACATATGGGATCTGGCACCTTCACACACATGTCTTATAAACTTACCGGGTCAAAGACAAGCATTTGACAAAGGAGATGCACAGCCTCATGAGTGGCCTGGGAGGAGAGAGTGTACAGTGACTGAGGCTTGACTCTCTGTCTCAACATATGAGATCTGGCACCTTCACACACATGTCTTATAAACTTACCGGGTCAAAGACAAGCATCTGACAAAGGAGATGCACAGCCTCATGAGTGGCCTGGGAGGAGAGAGTGTACAGTGACTGAGGCTTGACTCTCTGTCTCAACATATGAGATCTGGCACCTTCACACGCATGTCTTATAAACTTACCGGGTCAAAGACAAGCATCTGACAAAGGAGATGCACAGCCTCATGAGTGGCCTGGGAGGAGAGAGTGTACAGAGCTGACAGCGACTGAGGCTTGACTCTCTGTCTCAACATATGAGATCTGGCACCTTCACACGCATGTCTCATGTCTTCTAGTGATGGTGTGCCAAGTAACTCTGTTATCAGCTCCAGCTGTCAATCAAAAAAGATATCATTACTAGAGAGTAATATTAGAAGGGTTAACACAATTGGGATTTGTGATATGTAGGTACTAAGAAGAGAAAACTTTTTAAAACTGAGTTCTTTTTTAGTTAAAACGATTATTCTAAACTGGGGTAAGCGGAAAGACAAGCCAAGAGAACATCGCACTGGCTCACAACAAGCGTTGTATTGTTTCTGGATAGGGATGGGTCGATAAACCTGCTCAATGTAAGACAAAAACAATTTCTTTCAGAAAATACAAGAAAAATGAAAAAAATATAATTTGTATGTAAAGTAGACACACAAAAATACAAGTTACTTATGTTGAGTAATACAACAACACAAGTGACTTGTTCGCCCTAAGTGAAAGCATACGATGGTTGAACGCTGTGGAATAATCTTGGGATTTGGGTGCACTGATGATGGATATGATGGGGATTCTAAAAATAAAACATCTCTTTAGGCAAATGTAAAAAATAAACACAGACTTATCACTGGGGAAAATCCTACAGCTTTTAAACCATTTTTATATTTCAGATTGAGATTTGGAGCTCTACAAATGAAGTAAAGCCGTCCATAAGTTCAAAGAATAGTTTTTTCAAATCAAAAACCACCCTAAGCAAACACAATGATAATGTAGCATGTGGTTACGCTAAATAAAACCCCCCAATCCTCCACTAATTTGGAAAACATGAACAAAAACATGTCATAAACAAAAATATGTCGCAGTCAATCAGTAATTGTATTTGTAGTGATATTACAAAATGAAATCAATACAAATTTCTAATCTTGATGAGATGAATACACTGTGATAGTTTCAAATAAATTAAGAAAACCTTATCTAGCACACAATTCAAGGGAACCATTGCAAAGTAATGAGATCAGCGAGACATAACACAATGAAGACTAGAGATAATTAACAGCTTGAGCTCGCCAATGACAGGTGTTGTCACTTCTATGTTTGTAAAAAAATACCAATGGTATGGGACGGGTATACGTTACTGGTCGACATTATAAACATTTTTATTTTCAGGAAAGCAAAAAACTATACTCACCGTAATGGGGAATTAAAGTGAGTGGTGTATCTTGTTTTTAAAAATGATTTTTTTTACACCTATGGCATAAGGCAACATACACTTTTGTATTTTCCACGGCATTGCCCATGAATTTAAATCTTGTATTTTTGTTATAACATAGTTAAAAATGTTCTGTCAATAAATTTTTATAAAAATAAAATGTTTTTTTCAATCTCACCCAAAAATGACAAATAGTATGTGATTTAATTACTGTGGAAAGATATTTATGAATTATTTTTGAGGTCAAATAACAATTACTTTTTTAGCTTTAGTAAATTATTACTATTAGTGGTGTATTTGTAGTCCATTACAACTTATATCAAATCAAATGTACAACAGTTACATGAAGTCAAACCGCGCCGGTCCGATTTGACCGGCGCTTTTAGACCAAATTTACAAGTCCCTACAGAAGGCTGTGGCAGCAATACAAGGCTACGGCAACGCCATCTGTGAGGCACGGGATGTACTTTACCGATTAAGTTCATCAGATTGCCGCTAGTAGTCCACCAGTGAACTCTAGCGGCGATTTGGTGAAACACTGCAAAACCCTGGCGCCGCCCCGATCGGAGCGGCGCGTCACTCCGCCCGGCCTACCTGTGCCGGTCCGATCGGGGCGGCGTGGCACTTAACGTGTTAATAGCTCAAAAACCATAGGTTTCATAAAAAGGTTACAAATGACAAAAAGATTAAAATTTAATTCACATTACAGAAATGTACAGTTTTTATAGGGTCATAACACAAATAACGCAGACGATTTCATTTTTATATAGGTAATGCACGCTAATTTATGGAATTTGCTCTATCTTTTCGCTTCAGAAACTCTGTCATTTAATAACGGCTAATGACGTTCGCTAATGTCAAAATAATTAAGGTACAACTTACAATATTCCAACGATGAAATCAAATTATGGTGTCGTCCAAAAGGTAAGTCCAAAATGTCCACTGAATTTACTAATAGTTTTAAAAAGAAAGGTTAACTTAAGTTTGAAGATAAAAGTTGAAATTATGTCCTCTTGAGGTGTTAATTAATTAAATTTTCTTCAAGAGATGAACTAGATAAAATCTGGTTTCTTCTTTAAAAAGTGTAGTTAGCCTATTAGCAACTGCACATTTTGGAAGTCACTCTGGAATGTTCACAGGAGTCTATTGTTGAACACATGGTATGATAATACTGATCACTTGATTTAGATTCCTTAAGGAGTAGTTTTTAATTATATTATATGAAATTTTGTTATATTGCAATTCTCTTAAGCTGCACCCACAATTGGCGAACGTTTGCGACGAAAATGTACGTTTGTACGCCGAACTAGGAAAAAGTGTTCTCTGAATGTTTGCCGAACAATTGCTGGAACAATATTTAAACTGTTCGACAGAAAAAATATGGTGTTCACTCTAAACTAAGTATTTAGGTTTTTCGAGTTAAGATGGATGTGCGTAGGCGTCGTCTTTTACTTGATTGTACTGTTGTTTCTGCTGCATATTACATTATCAGCATTAGTTCGTGCATTATCTTGCTAATATGTAAAGACGCCGTCTTCAGCTGAAGAATGGGTTGTGGTTGCCAACGAATATCGAAGTAGGTAAGTAGCAATTCGACCACTTTCTAGCTGCTTTTGATGGTAAACACGTTGTGTTGCAGTCACCATCATATAGTTGATATACTTTTAACACAAATTTGGCTACAACACAAAGGGCTGCTATCTCTGAACTGGACAAAAGTTTGCTCATGGAGCGAACATTTAGGCTTAACAATAATTGCGACACCCTACTCCCACTCTCGCTCTCCGAACGTTCGTCGCGATGCATCCACACTTAACGAACATCGAACGTTCGCTGGCAAACAGCGACATGTTAGCGAACATTGTTTGTCAAGTGTTGACGCACCTTTACATTTAATGATGTATGTCATGAATATGTTTTTGCAAATTATCAAATATTAATAGAGTTGGTTGTGGGCTTTGTTCAAAAATAGGCTAAGGATATTATTCATGATTAATTACTGAACAATATATTAATGGAATTATACAAATAAGTTAAGTTGAGCCAATATTAGGCCTGTCCTATCATTATAGATTAAGGATGACTTTCTGAGGAGTGATTAATGATAAAGAAATTATTTGGTATAGGACAAAATTAACAATTTTAAGAAACTTGATACAAAACTATTGAATGTATGAAATTACAAATTTTAACCGACCATGTTTGTTCAAGTTCAAACAATTATTTTTTAGTTATTGATGAGGTAATGGCTTGTTGTAAGTGGCATAATTGAGTTTTGTTGTGGTTGATTGAGGGATAATTTCAATCTGTACTTACCTTTCTCACAAGTCAAAATAAAATATCAAACCTACTCATTATTTCAGGGTCAAATTTAGACATAGGCGGGCGTCTAAGTGCCCGCACCACAAAGCCCCCCCCCCCCCCCCCCAAATTACAATTTACAAATTATGTCACTGGTCATGTTTTGTTATTGTAAACAGTACGATTAATGCTTAAAAACGCACTTAAAATTTTCCAGTGAGGGAATACAGTCTCTAGTCTGAGAACTGATAACAATTTCAACGTGATCGCAGGAGCTAATCATGATTTTGATGTGATCACAAAATAACAACCATGGAAAATGTTCAAGGTTTTGTTGCTATAATAGGAAACATTTACTATTTCACTGCCATATCAGACATATTTAAAAGATTTGAATGCTATTACATAATAAGTGTTAAAACCCAATTTAACCATTGTTAAGTCATGACTTGGAAAAAACACTAACATCAATAAGCAGAGATAAACACTGTTCCAGGCCTTTCCACCACCACCTCACTACATCACTTCTAAATACTTGATACTAGACTGTTATGATTGTTAACAATATTAAAATTGTCTACTGTCTTTAACACTTATCATCCATATGTGTACAATTATTTTGTGACAACTGACAAAGAATTATTTGTTTCAAAGCAGACAATACAAAATATTTAGTTCAAATTCTTCCGGAAGTCACTTGTTTACGCCTGTTTTTTACATCTTCCCAAGCGAGGGCCGTTTCATTTTCCTGGTTCCCAAGTATTCTATATATCCCCCAAAACAATATGCCCGAGGCCTGCACCACAAGCAGAGCATAGGGTCCATTTAAATCTGGCCTTGCGTTATTTGATACTACCTTATCACTTGATATTCCCTGATGGAGAAGATTTTATGCTGCCTGGTCCCAAAACTGGACAACAAAAAAGCAGAACGCTTTTGTACTAAGACTCAATATAATATATATTCTATATATTTTTTAAGAAAAAACAAATTGAGTAAATTTTCAAGGTGATACTCCAAAGTATTACTTTTAGATTCCCACCACAAAAATTGGAAAGGATGTAAACATTTTCTGTGATCCAAAGCGAGCAGCTCACCTGTTGTACTGGACTTTGCGCTTGGAACAATATTCTGCGACCAAGCAGTTCACCAAAGATACATCCGACACTCCACACATCTACTGCGGCCGTGTAGTGTCTGGCACCCATGAGGATCTCTGGGGCTCGGTAGTACTGAGTCACCACCTCCTGAGTCATGTTCTTGCACTGGTCCGGCTCCTCTACACGTGCCAGGCCAAAGTCACAGATCTGCAATACACCTCGACATCAATTACTGCACTGTCTAGTTAGAGGATAGATGAACAGCGATAGAGTATATTAACACAATGAGTGCGGTAAATATAGTGGGTCCTTCCCCGGTGCCTGACATTTTTATACATAAAATCTAATTTTTTGTTGCCAGAAGTGAGAATCCAGATCAAAAACAGTGTTATGAGCAGTTGTTCCCTGCTCAAAGATATAAAGATGAGACAAAATGAATTTACCACATTTGAATTGAGCGGCAAACATAAATTTTACTATTTTCTTCAAAATCTATTTTTTTTAAGAAACCGTATTAGTTTTGATCGATTTATTTCACTATTTGGAACCTGTGATATTGAGGGACTATCTTGTGTTGATGAAAATACTCAATTTTGGGTCTCACAAACACTGTTTTTTAAACTAAAAATGTTAAATAGCACTATAACGACTAATATTTACAACTATACATGGTGTCCAACGTAAGGTGTCTCAAATTGATGACCTTCCTCCCTCCCAACCATTGTTTATTACAATAACAGTGAATCTAGGAACTGCTGATAACAATTTGGTATTGGGAAGTCCATCTTTGTTAAAGGTATATACAGGGTAATTGATATAAGTGTGACAGCTGTTTTATTCAAAAACTATAAGAGATATCAAAAAAAGTTAAATGGTAAGTGCCTTGGATTTTTTATTTTAAAAAATGCAGTCAAGTAAAAAAAAAATATTTTAGCCGCCTTTTTCCAATATAGCCGCCAACTTTGATTTTTCTTATGGAACAGTATTTTATGATGTATTCTGGTAGAAAATATAATTTTAAGACAATTTTACTCTTGTGTTTTTTTCATAAACCTAACCGTTTCAAAGATAATAATGGTTAAAGTTTTGAAATTTCGGCATGAGAAAGAGTTTCAATAAAGGCCTAAGCAAGCATGCCAGCTGTTTTATTCGAAAACTATTACAAATTTCATAACTTCAACCATTATTATCTTTAAAACAGTTAGGTTTATGAAAAAAAAAAACACAAGAGTAAAATTGTCTTAAAATTACATTTTCTACCGGAATACATCATAAAATACAGGGTGTTCCATAAAAAAAATCAAAGTTGGCTGCTATATTGGAAAAATGGCGGCTAAAATATTTTTTTCGACTCGACAAACATTTTTTTAATAAAAAGTCTAAGGCACTTACCATTTAACTTTTTTTGATATCTCTTATAGTTTTTTAATAAACCAGCTGGCACACTTATATCAATCATCCTGTATAAAATAAAATAATAAACTATAAAATCTTGTGTTCGTCTCGTATGAAAAGCAAAAACACAAAAGAAAAAGGCCAATAAATGTCCAAAGTCAATAAATTGTGCATGTGCTCTGCGCGCATTGGGCGGCCGGTCCTCGGTGACTCAATGTGTTAAGATGAAAAGTAATAACACTTAATACATATTAGTAGGGATGGTCAAGTCTCGAAATTTCGGGAAATTTTCGGGAAATTTTAAATCTTGTTACACAAGACGAGATTTCTTTTTGACCGAGATTTTTATCGAGACGAGAATACAAAAAAAAAAAAAAAAAAAAAAAAAAAAATTAAAAACGCCTGCAGAAAGTCAATGCAATACCCGCAATACAGGAGCGTGTTGTAGTTGCGTTTCCTTTGCGAAGGCGTTCTTATTTAATTAATTCTTTAAATGTAAAAATTACTTTAATTATTTTAATAATATTACTTTAATAACATTTGAGAAGTTTTGTTAAGTGTAAGCAGTGTGTGGAATGTTTTATTACTATAAAAAGTCAAAACAAGTAACGATTTTATAAAAACTAATATTGCTTTTATTTTATGATTTATTTTATTTTAGGATAAGTTGAACTCTATCCTAACTGATATCACTATGTTTCCTAATCGTAAGCATTTTTAATAAGTTAAGCGTGATTAATAAAAAAAATGTTATGCTGATGTTTTTTAATAAAAGATTGTAAATATTCTTGCCTATTATCATTATTTTTGTATTTAAACAGTCATCTAACAAAGTTACAAAATCAGGTAAAAATTTTGAACGTGCATTTCCCGTTGTGTATGAGAAGGGAAATCCCGTCTCGATCTCGTCTCGAAATTTTATGAGAAATAAAAAATCTCGTCTTGTCTCGTCTCGAACTAAAAATCCAATCTCGTCTATCCCTACATATTAGAAGATAACCAACTATCAGTAAATTAGATACAACAGATAAAGTAAAATAATGTTTAACACCCACCTTTAGAACACAATTGCTGTTAACAAGAAGGTTGCCGGGCTTTATGTCTCTGTGTAGAATTCTGGCTGAATGTAGGTATTTTAGTCCTGTAACAAACATAAAACATAATAAAAACCAGCAATGTGCAATAACCAGAACTTAATTTGAGACCAAACAGATCTCTAACAATACACACACTTGCATGTTTATACAGGTGGTGGTCGTATAGTGATGCTAGCACAGTTGATGATGGGGGAGAGGACATGTGAGGATGGCAGGGGAAGATTGAATAGACAAGGGTCAAACCTATCATTATATTATGGTACCATAATTTATAGAAACAATATTATTAATAAATATCATTTTGGCTGTAATTATGTTGCTTGATAAATTTTGACAGAAACCCATCTGATTTTATGAATGATTTAGAAATTTGGTGAACAATTTTAGCAAACTGCTCATGAATAAATTGTTCAAACATGTTGATTTGCGTGTGTGAGATCAAAACCAATAGCAATAACGTTAACAATGATCTACCATTAACTATTTCTAACTAATGCTTACAGTATTTTAATAACAATCAGAAATGGTAAAGATGATGATATTTGGAATCCCGTTAATTATACATAACATTCAGTTAGTTTTCAATTACTTCCTCCCATTAATAATTTGTTGAATCACTATTTTGAACAAACTTTATGCCCTAACCAGGCCCTAACGCAGTTTTATTTTATAATAAAAAAGTCCAGAGCCATATCCTAAATTTCACTTTATTGTGCAAACACAGTTTGAAGCCCCATTTCCTCTGTGAACTCATGGTTTCTGTAATGAGTGCAGCTTTCTAGACTCATTTAAAAGTCAATTGAGGGAGAAAGGAATAATTAACTAGGTACAGCAGCATCGCCTTAGAAGATGGGAGTGTAAAAACTCTGAGAGTCTCATTCTCAATCCCAAATGTTAACATTTTTATAAACACACAAACATCAGACCTTTACAAAGCCATGATACACAACTATGTGCCAATAATTAATAAAGATAGATTTTTGTAAAACAGTGAATTAAACTAATCACAATACGATAAAACTACCAATAAAAAAATAATGTAGGCTAATCATTAATAAACAATATCATTAAATTTTTTGTATTATATTATTCATATATTCATATTCAAACATCTTTATTCGTCATAAAAATCATGTACATTGGTGGTACAGTGAATAGTGTCAGAATACTTAAAATAAAAATACTATTTCTATTTATGGCAGGTGGAAAACTCATCAAAAGAATATAATGCTAGATTTATTATATGCTCTTTTAGAATTTTCTTGAATTTAAATAGGTTTGTTTATTTTTAGCAAATTGCACATATAGGGAATAAGCTATTACCATAGGTCTCATGGTAAGACCTGGACCCGGGACCGATTTAATTTTTCGTTTTGATGTCCCCAGAGGCCAAAACACCATCTGTTCAAATTCATATATATATTAATTAAATAAAATATAGTTCTGTTCATAAAATAAAATTATAAATGCCTCAAATTCTAGTAGTTCTCAAACTAAGAAAAAAGTTAGTGCCACCGGTAGGTTTCGAACTCGCTACCTCTTGGTTATCAGCCCAATGCTCTAACCACTACATCAAGAACACCGATGGAAGCACCACGTATTGTTGCTGTAATGGTGTTCATTACAATTTACATTCATTTTTAACCATCAATCAATTGAATCGAACCCATTTGATCCTAAATAATATCGTTACTTAGTATTTCGATATTGAACCGATAATACACGGCATTTTTGTACGAAAAAATGCTCACCGTTTATTTATTCAGTAATATTTTTGTAATAGGCCTATCATTAAAGTTGCATTTGATACTTTATTTTTCAAGCCTATAATGACCCTTGAATAGATCCAGGTATATTATTAAACAGAATGGTAAGTATCTAACTTATCTTCCCACAGTGCTTAGCAAAGGACAATTATATTAAAATAAATAAGTTAGATAATGTTTATTTGCTACTATGTAAAACAGGTAAGGTGATGTAGAATATTGTATTGAACCTTGGATAAGACTGAAGACTGAGAGAGCTGTTGTAATGGGGGAACACTATTCCTGGGTCAATATAAGGGAAGGGATAGGGAATAGGGATAAGGGACAGACAGGAGGGAGAGTGATAATGGGGACTGGGTACAGCCTGCATCCACACTGCCACAACAGTGTGTACAAATACACATACACACCAACACAAGTCAAAGCTGTTGTGATCAGTACTGATACTGTATGCCACTCATCCTACACTCAACCCCATTCACACTTGGCTTAAAATACCTACTTTGTATGGTCGCCATTTCATTGAAAAGTATAAACTATTTAAAAGTATCTATTGTTGAATATGTTTATGAACAGTTTATGATGTGTGCTTTTGTCTGTAGAACTATTATACACCACTAACATTTTTAAGTTTTGATGAGAGACTGAAAGAATCCAGATATTGCTTCTGTTTAAGTCAACCTGTCTATAAAACGTCAATTATTAGCTAACACTGCATGAACAACAATCCCTGATAAATAAACCGAGTCATGTTCACTAACATTTTCTAACAATTGTATTTTAACAAAGAAATTATGTAAACAATGGTTGATAAGTTGGCACAAAGAACATACTGACTAAAAAAGTTTTCAGTTATTTCAAAGTTTAATAAGAAATTTAATAAACATAACACGAGTGTCAATGCATAGAATATAGTTAGTTGTTTTATATAAAGAAATTTAAAATTTTAATAAATTACTGGGGTATAGTGTCAATCTGGAAACTATACACTAGTCTTTATAGCATCCTATTAAAAATTTTAGACATTTAAGATTTTCTTCAACTTGAGAGAAGAGAACCCAATTAAATGTATTTATTCATACATTTAATAAAACTAGATAACCTGTTGCTCAAAATCGAGCAAAACTGCAACTTGTAATAAAAAAAATAAACAACTAAAAACATAAACAGCAAGACCTCAATCAAAGAGTAATTCTAAAGTCTATGACTGATGCTTTTTGTCTGGTGGTCCTCTGTTTTCAGCTTTAAAAATAGCGGCAACATTTATACAGGTCGCACCATTGTAGCGAGGAAAGCCAATTATTTTGTCACTTATTATGTACATAAGAATCTCCCATAACTCCTCGGAGCTCTCGTCCCTACACTTTTTTGCCACAGTTTTAAAAGATTGGGCAAATGGGTTGGCAATGTGACCCTTTTTCCCACATATTTTATCATTGAATCTTTCCTTTCAAGTGTCATGGATCTTGAAATTGTAGATCCCCTAGGTATGATCCTCTCATCTAAATGAGCTTCAGAGCTGACCATGGCAAAGGCGGAATTGAATTGACAAATTTTATCCTAATAATTTCTAGATCCAAGCCTCACAGCCCTGATTTCAGATTGGGAGTTTCCAATAAGTTCCTGAAAGTATGGTGAATTCCGAAGATGAGGTAAATGGTTCTCTCATTTATGGCAACAAAGAGTAACGTTGAACTGTATAGGCCAGACTCTTTTTTTTTGCTTAAAATGTAAGCCACCACAATGTAAATATTTAAAGTTCATTTGTGAAGGTTAGACATATCCCACACAATGGTTGAAACTCTGTAATCTTAAAATGATACATTGGGAGATTGATGCAAGCGGCCACGTTCACGTTTCCTCCAGCCACTCACAGTCTTCGTCTTACTGGTAGCATATTATTTTAAATTTAGATGAATTACGAAAGTCAACAAAACAACAGAAAACACTACAACGGAATTGTTATACACATTGTAAATTACATGATATTGTGATGTAACTGCACTGGAAATAATCACTTTCAAACATTTATTTCATCACACCAAACTGTAACCAAAACAACTCGATAATTCAGTAAAATATGATGTAACGTAAATACATTCACCTATTTACAAACAATTTGTTGTCAAGTCTTGATAGGAAACTCTTTATTTAAGAAACAGATATAGTTAACAGATGTTTAGATAAAAATATGGAATTCCGGCTTTGCTCTGGAATAAATAAGTCCTGCTGGTCAAACTTAAAAACTAAAAAGAATTAAATATTTATTCTTAAACACTTTGTTGTCTAGTCTCTTCATTATGAACCAGACTTAGTTAACAGATTGAAACACAATATAAATTCCAGCTTTGCTCTATGGAAGTTTTAAGTCCTGCAGTTTGTGGTTAACCTTAAAAACTATTTCAAACTACGTCCATATGTTATTTGTAAACAAAGGGAAATGAGTTTAATCAAATGTCAACAGATGGCGCCACTTTCCAAACTTTAGCCCTTAACTGTACTTAAGTGATGCCCTTTCTTAATATTCTGAGACGTATTTGCACATCTACATGAAAATATGTACCTTTAATTTGATACCTCAAACATTAAAATCCATCAAGCGGTTCTTGAGCTATGACTGTGAAAAGAAAACTGCTTGCGTATTAATATATAGATGACTGCCATGCTGTACTGGCTTGAGATAGAGACCTCTGATTTTCACTAATATTTTTCTTAAGGTCTGTTTTATACTCTGTGTGTCGACTCGACAGCGAGTGCCGCATGTTTGTGCGGTGGGCATGGCATTGGTGGCCGGGGGGGGTTTCAGGGGTACCAATTAAGGAATTTCTATTCACCACTAGTATTGATTTGTATTGAGTGAGAGATGGCTTCTAGATCCAGGTGCCTACATGATGTTAAAACTAAAGACAAAGAGACATCGGAAAAGACACTGGTCTATTCATCCCATCAACTGGCAAGATCCGACGATGGTGCTTTTAGAAACTTCCCTTTGACATCACTAAACTTGTAGTCCGCTGATGAACAACCCCACAAACTAGGTCTAGAAGATTTGATTTTGGTAATAAACTGTTCAATATTGCCATCAGTCGTATTTATTCCGTAATTGTACATAGACAAAAGTAGCAAACAGATGCACAGAAAAGAAAAACAAAAGCACCTACCATGCCGGCAACAGAAAATAAAATGGGGGAGGCAAGGCTGTTGGGCTGACTGTTTGATCAGTTGGCAGCACTTGACAATGCCGCTGCGGTGTGGGCGGCCGCCGTAGGTGATAAAAG